TACGCCTATAGTGTGTGTGTGTGTGTGTGTGTGTGTGTGTGTGTGTGTGTGTGTGTGTGTGTGTGTGTGTGTGTGTGTGTGTGTGTGTGTCTGAGTGTGTTTCAGCACACAATGTTATGTAATTTCTTGTCGTGTGTGTTCAAGAGTGCACATGAACTATGTAATACCACCGCCATTGTAAATGACCAAGACAAAATAACTTCTCCATGCGAGAAGAATAAAGATTGTCCTCAACATTGGACCCACCTGTCCATAGTCCAGGTACATTTAGGAGATCTGTACACACAGCTCGCCCGTAAAACTGCGCCTCGTCTTTAATAATACACGAGATCCGTGCTGCCAACGCTTCATATCGTGCCCGTAGACCTGGAGGGTGGGGAGGAGAGAGATATATAATATAGACGGATGTAGACGAATAAAAGTAAAAGGAGCTGGACAGAAAAGAGAATTGGACACTCAATGGTAAACACCTAGCCTAGAGGAAGACTTGCACTGCAAACAAAGACACAAGGCAGAAAGAAGAAGACAGGATCAGACGGAGGTAGGCTAGACATTATAATATAGCATGCTGCAGAGCGCGGATAATAAATTGAATTCTTTTTTGTTTTTTTAGACAGGGGTAGACGGAGGCAGACAGGTGTAGACATAAGTAGACAGAGGTATTCAGGTGTAGACAGAATTAGACATGTGTGAACAGAGGCAGAGAGGTGAAGACAGGTGTAAACGGAGGTAGATAAGAGTAGAAATGGGTAGGCGTAGGTAGATAAGTGTAGACAGATGTTGATGGAGGTACACGGGGGTAGACGGATCGGACAGAAGATAGGTGTAGACTGAAGTATACAGGTGTAGACAGGTGTAGACAGGGGTGGGCAAGTGTAGAGAGGTGTGGAAAAGGGTAAAAGGGTGTATATATGGGTAGAAGGTAATAAATATGTGTAGTCTATAGGGGATAAACGGAGGTAGACGAAGGTAGACATCTGCTGTCATAGACAGACATCGATAGACAGAAAAAGGTAGATGGAGGTAGACAGCACACAGAAAAAGATACATAGAGGGAGCCAAATATTGGTAGACACGCAGAAGTAGGCAGTAGACACATATAGACAGAGATAGACAGAGGTAGAGAGACAACAGGCAGACACATAGACTCACTGGAGGTTGATAGAAGTAGACAGACAAAGATAGACAGAGGATGGAGGTGATGACGAAGATGATCGTGTCGCTCATACTTGGATCGTCAAGAAATGTGTAGGGTACCAAAGCCTTCGCGTAATCATATGACGTCTTCTGATGTGCCTTAACGTCAACAGACTCGATGTACGTCACTACGTCATGAATATCATCTTCGTGAACTTTCTCACTATGTCTGTTGTGCTGTCCTTTGTTCTTTTTACTGTGTCCTCTTTTAGGCTTGTTATGCTTTTGGCGTGAGTGTGGCATCGTTCTTGTAATCTACGATGTTGTCCACGTTTTCCTCTATATCAAACGTCTTAATAAAAGTCGCTCACGTGAGACAGAGATGTCACAACAAATCACATGCCTTGTCTGAAGGTAAGTGAAAGATCCACTGAAAAGTACAATATTCATACACAGCACAGGATTTGAAATAATATTATCTTTTTGTTTCCCCAGTTGTCTTTGTGTGTATTTCTTATCCACAGACACGCGAATAATCTATTACAGTATTATATTTCACTGTTCATTCAATAACATCGATGATAAAGCGAGCAGGATTTAACAGCTTTTCGAGAAAAAGAATATCCTCGAGATATCCCTGTGTGGACAGTCCTGTCTTCAAGAACACGCGAAATATAGCCGTTATATCGTGCATGTAGACTCCCAAAACCAAAATTACTGTATATAATAAGTCAACGAGTCAACAACAACCCTCCCGTACACGCCAAAGCCTTTATAGTATAGGCACACTTCGTTCAGAGAGCGCTAATTTTAGAACTGAGCAATGTCACAGCAAGTAGCCTACGTTCTGAAGTGGAATGGATTGGCTGAATTTAGATCTACCTATCGAAACCGAAAGCGAAACAGTTTCAAACGTTTCAGTGACGTTTGTTGATAATTTTTCGCTCACTTTTTCCCGACTAGGATTGTCGAAAAAGACGTAAGGAGGGGGGGGGGGAGGAGGAGGAGGGGGAGGAGGAGGAGGAGGAGCAGGAGCTCTATCCCATACAAATGTAACCTCTGTGCCGGACTTTTATAATTTTTGCCTTTCTTGTCTTTCTCGAGCTCTGCTCTTTAAGAACACAGAAATAAGGTACTTAAGAATCCTTATGTGCTGGACATTATGAGCTAATTTCATCTGTCAACAACAACAACAACAACAACAGCAACAACAACAACAACAACAACAACAACAACAACAACAACAACCACCACCACCACCACCACGACCAACATCGACAACATCAACAACTGCAACGACAACAACAAGATGTCCAAGCAGAACAAGAGTACTAGCCTGAAGGCGTGCTCGTACAGAGGTCGTTAGCCTCTGGACTTGGCTGTCTCCGCTGACCCTATCATTACCATCATCTCTTTCTGCTTGCTACACCTCGTCATAATCTCGCCGGCTGTTTTCCTACGATGATTGATAATCTTGGCCCCCATTTTCCTGTCGAGCCCGCCTGTTACACTTGTGCGACTTCCTTGCCTCGAAAAGAATTATTCCCAAGCATTACTTTACTTCTGAAACCGGTGGTGCAAGATTTTTCTGGGGTAATGACAGTATAATAGCTTGAAGCTTGTCTATAGTTTATTTCCTGCAGGGCTTTCTCGATGCGATGATACGTACAAATGTAGATGAATTTCATGTACGAGTGCTTGGTCTTTTCTCTGGAATTTTATCATTTATTTTTCGTTGTTTTTTTTGCTTTAAATATATTTATTTATTTATTCATTTATTGTATTTACTTATTTTATCGCATTATTTAAAATGTGTTATTTTTCATTGTTTGGGACAGATGATTTGGCTG